ATATAATCCTAGCTACTTAGGAGGCTGAAATCTGAGGATCTCTGTTACAAGAACTTCCAGACAGAGAAGTCCTAAAGACTTATCTCCATGCTTGCTTCAGCAGCACATATACTAAAACTGGAAGGATAGAGAGAAGATTAGCATGGCCCCTGTGCAAGGATGACATGCAAATTCATGAAGTATTCCATATTTTTAACCCAAAGAAACATAGACTCCATGGTTTCCCTCATTTGTAATAATTAGTATATGTCTACAATAGTCCTAGCAGATGAGCAGAATAGCTTCAACAGCTATGTACATATGACCATATAAGATGATGTTAATAAGCTAAATGAACTCATAACATGGAAACAAGAGATTCTTCTTTATTGTTGTTGTTTTCAATGTACTACGTGATTTCTTTTTTTTTCCTTTTATGTTTTCTTTTTCCCCTATGATCTATCCCCTGTTGCCACTGTATTTGATTTTGGTACCCTGTGAATTGTATCTACATTTATCTGAATTAGGGAAGGGAAAGAGAACAACAAAATGGTGAGACAAAAGACAAAGGGCGAACCAATGTAACAACGATACTGTATAACTTGGGGAAGGGATGGGGGGGGAAGTGGGAGAAAAATGAGAGGGGGGTAACAAATTCAACAAGAATGTACTCACTATTTTCCATATGTAACTGTAACTCCTCTGTACATCACCTTGACAATAAAATTTTAAAAAGGAAGGTGGCTCAGTGGTAGAGTGCTTGCATGCATGAGGACCTGGGTTCCATTCCTCAGCACCACATAAGCAGAAAAAAAAAAAGCCGGAAGTGGTGCTGTGGCTCAAGTGGTAGAGTGCTAGCCTTGAGCTGAAGAGCTAAGGGACAGTGCCCAGGCCCAGAGTTCAGGCCCCATGACCGATAAAAAAATAAATACATAAAAGAAAAGAAAAAAGGAAAAGAAAAAAAAAAAAAAAGACATCTCCAATTAACCAGCAAAAAGATGGAAGTAAAAAAAAAAAAAAAAAGATGAAAGTAGAGCTGTGGCTTAAATGGTACACCATGAGCCTTGACCAAATACGCTAAAGGAAAGTGCCCAGGCCCAGCACCAGTACTGACAAAAGTAGTAAATTTAATAATAATAATAATAGCACAGCTAAATGATTGGCTTGGAAAAGAGGATTGAATTTTGTTTTGGGACTGGTAGATGGAACAAAATAATTAGGTACAGAGAAAAGCAACTACACTAAGCATGAGAGACACTCATGAACAGAGTGGAGGAAGAATAATCAGAAGTTTCCCATTTCTCTCTGAATCAGAAAATAATCTTATCAACCTGTTTCCAATCATCAATACAAACATAAAGGGATTATATTTGTGAACAATTTTAGTCACACACACACATACACACCTAACTGCTAAGATTACAAGAATGACGGATACCCAAGTAAAGTAATAGTTATTTGTTAGGTTGTGCACATGTATAACTACTCATTTTTCTGGTTTTCTTCTGGACTAGTCAGTCTTGAATTATGTCACTGTATCTCTACACATAAAAATATTACTATGGATTCAATGTTTGTTTTCTCACCTAGTCATCATTTATTCAATAAACATACTCAGTGCCTACTCTGAAAATATATGGTACTGAAAACAGAGATGCATAAGGTCCTCACTGACTCCCATGTGTATCCTCAGTATTCAACATTTTATTCCACCTACACACAGTGCTAGGAAAACACAATATTACACTGTCCTGTAAAGAAATAATACATGTCATCTAAAATATATGTTGACAAAGACCTTCACTTAAGTCTGAATAAATCAGTGCTGTCCAAAAGTTTGTCATACTGAAAATATTCTGAACTATATAGTAGTCAAGAGGTACATGAAGGAAATTTTTATTTTAATGGCCACATATGGTAAACAAGTACCATATAGGTCTAAATATCAGAATACAACAGGTAGCTAATGGCACTGCCACTATTAAAATCAAGGTGCTGTTAATAAGCTAGTATAATATGTTGCTGAAAGTGAGTACCCTGGGAATAAAAACTGTTAGAAAGATACTCTAGTTTTCAGTGTAAAATAACATGTACATTCTGAGCCAAAAAGAGAACAGAAGGGAAAGAAGGATAGTTCAGTTTTTCACTTTACTTTCCTAAGGAAAAAACATCAATTACTTTTGTCAACTTTTTACTTTTCTTAGACAGGTCAAATACTTGGTATATGTAAGGAATCAAATACTTTTGAAGTTAGAACTAACTAGAGCATAATTGTTTCTATAATAAAATGATGGAGAAAATGGAGGGGGTAACACTGTTAGAAAATAAATGTACTCAGTACCTTACTTATGCAACTGTAATCCCTCTGTATATCACCTCTACAATAAAATAAATTTTTAAAAAATGATACTTTATTAATGGTATAAACATAAGTAGTTAGAAACCAAGATTCAATAATGAAGAGTGTACTTGTAACAACTTACTCTTGCAATTTTCCAAATGTTTCATTTATCTGATTTTAAAATAAACCTAATTTGACCTGATTAAAAGATTGTATATTCCACTAGTATGTGAACCTCCTCTTAAACAATTAGCATACACTTAAAAAAAAAAAGTTGAGTGCTTGGTGGGCTTACACTTCTAATTCTAGCTACTCAGAAAGCATGACACTTGAAGAATCTTAGTTCAGAGTTATCTCATAGAAAAGTTCATAAGACTCCATTTCAATTAACCAGAAAAATGTTAGGCTAGAAGCATGGCTCAAGTGGCAGAGCACCAGTCATAAACAAGAAAGCTGATCAAAAGTTCCAGGCCCCCAATTTAAGTCTTGGCACACATGCATGCACACACACACACACACACACACACACACACACACACACACGTACACAAGAATGGAAAAGAAGTGTGTGTGTAGAGAGGTACCACTGGAGGAGGAATGGAGGAGAATAAAGGAAGATGAAAAAGGGTAAAATGGTAAAATACTTTATGTACGTATGTAAAAACTGAACAACCACACTTGTGGAGACTGGTTTGGGAAGGAGGATGAGAGAGTGGTGGAATGACTGAGTTAGATCAAGGTACACTTATGCTTATGGGATATGTCAAAATGAAACCCCCTTATACAATTGACTAATACTAATAAAAAGGTAGGAAAATAAAAATAAGCCCAATGCTAAAACACATGGTGACTCAACCAACTGAGTAAATGTTAGTATACCCTAACTTTTGAAATGAATAATTCCTGTTATAGCCACTACCATAGCTATTTATGACTGGATGGTAAAATGTACTTTCACTACTCTGTCCTTAATGTATAATTTAAGTGACTACACAAACTTAAGTAGAGATACAAAGTCCTACATTAGCACAGGTCTGATTACATACTTAGAAGATCTGATAACTTAAAAGTAAAACCAGTGAGGTGAGCAAATGTCAGAGATAGCACATTTTATGCATAGTAACTTGTTCAGTTTAACCATTCCAGTAAGACTGCTTTGTAAATTAACTACACAACTTCCAGTCCTTCATTTCTTCTGGAATCACCTTCTCTAACATTTCCAGATTAGTAACACCAAATAATAGTGTCTCAATCTACTAAGAAAAGCTTTAAAAGAACCACTTTAGAATGTTCTTCCTGCCATACAGAACACCATCAAGTAAATATTAAATCAAGCCTCCTATATATACATTGCAGTCTTGATAATCAAAGCAGATCAGATCTGTAATAATTAACTTCCAGAGTCAAATGACTGCCACAGCTCACTGCAACAAAGCCAAAGCACTACAGTATGGTATAATGACATCATTAGCTTGGTTTCCTAATAAAAGCATATTACCTGAATTTACGGTTACTAAAAATAGTCAACATTTGTCTATGAGAGTAGCAGGCAGCTCTAGTTTTAGTTCTAAGACATTTTTTAGAATGATGCCCATGGCAAACTGATTTATTTCTTAGCCTTGACATGAAAATGCTGTTCTACTGGGGGTAGGGAGGGGGAGAGATCAATGTTTTAATCCTGGAAATTAGGTTCTGCTTCACCGAGATTTACCACTGTCTTCAGAACTAGTACAGTAGAAGCATGTAATTAATGTGATTTGAAACAAACAGTAACAGAACTCATACATGTAAGGTTTAGAGATCCTTCAACCAAAAGTAATTTCTGTCCTAATTGTCACCGTTTCCTTGGTGCTGCATTTTCTGGGTTTGCAGTTGCCAGGAGGCAGACAAGATTTTTCTCTCTGAATTAAATCTGGAAAAGGTGATTTTTATACGCCTTACATCACCCTTTCCTAAGATTGTCTCCGTTCCCTCTCCTCCCCCCCCCCCCCCCACCCCGCGCCGCCCCAGTCCAGATTTCCTAGTAATATAGAAAAGTTAGCCACGGCTTTCAAAACTCTCTGGTTTGAACCTCCGAACTGGGAGGAGAAAGTGTGGTGCAAGTTCATTCACAAGTGCTCTCGGGATAGGGGTGGTGAGGACGAGCAGGAAGAAAAAAAGTGTAATCCTTCCTGACCTGTGCCTGTCCCAGTCCTCTCGAACCCTGCCTTGGGAGCTGGAATGTTCTCTCCTTCGCCAAGGCTGTGAATGGAAGAGGTACCCCAGTTCTCCCACACCATGCTAAGCTGCATCCCTCTTGGCCGGAGACGGCGACCAGAGAAGGCCGAAGACCAGCCCTCGACCAACACACCCGCCGGGTCCCAAACTGCCCCAGGCAGGAAGCCCCAGCCGTCCCCAGCTCCCCAGGACCCGCGGGGGCGCAGCTCCACGGCGCGCTCCGGACGCTGCTTCCCCGGGCGGCGGCCGCTCAGGAGGAAGCGCCCGGCGAGCACCTGCAGGAAGCGGCCGCGCGGCGCCCACCTCAGAGGCCCGGGCTGGCGGGAGACCTGGGCTCCCGGCTCCGGAGCTGCGCGGGGCTTCCGCGGCTCCGGGCTCAGGGCCCCGCGCTCGCCTCCGCCGCGGCCTAGCCCGGCGGCCCGCCACCGGGGGGTCGCAGGGCTGGGGGAGAGGGGAGTCTTACCAGCTGCTGCCGGACCCAGCGCCACATTCCCCCGCCGTCGCCGTGGCGGCCCCGCGGGGGACCGAGGGGCTGCAGCGGGGAGAGGTCGACGAGCCGCAGGGGGAGCGGGCAAGCCCCTCGGGCAGAAGTTCCGCTCTCCGCCACCGCCACCTCACGCCCCGCACCCGGTCCACATCGCGCCGCGCCCGCCCCGAAGTCCTACAGGCGCGGCCCGGGCGCCGTCCCCGCCCGGAGGAGCTGAGTCGGAGGCCCCGCCGCAGCCACCTTCATTACTGACCGTTGTCACCCGAAAGCACCCCCGCCACCCACCCCGCCCCGCCCCTCCCGGGCCCAGCCTGCCTCGCCCCGCCCCTGCGCTCTGGGCAGCCCCGGACGTGACGAAAAGAGGTGCGCCGACCGGCCAAGGGGGACCGGAGGCCCCGCAGCCGCACGTCCCCGGGGTCTGGAGCGGGAGTAGGGCCCCTGACGGCCCCTGAGAAGCCCAAGGGGGGCGGGGCGGCACGCGGGGGGCGGGGCGAGCCGCACAGGCCGTGGTGAGCGCGAAGGGCTGCGGTCGGAGCGGGGCGAGGGGCGGGGTTGAGAGCCCCTGAGAAGACTGAGGAGGCGGGGATGCATATGGAGAGCAGGGGGGCGGGGCGGAGGCTGTGGGAAGGTCGGGGGCGGGGCGAACCTCGGGGGGCGGGGCGAACCTCGGGGGCGGGGCGAACCTCGGGGGCGGGGCGAACCTCGGGGGCGGGGCGAACCTCGGGGGCGGGGCGAACCTCGGGGGCGGGGCGAACCTCGGGGTTCGCATTGAACGCGTAGGGCCGCTCGCGAGGGCCCGGCGGCCCGTGAGGGGTGGAACGGAAAGGCAGGGCGGGACGTCCCACGGCGCCCTCCCACAGCGGGGGGTGGGGGGGGAGCTATCACGTGACGTCAGGGCTGGAGTCGACCGTCTGGGAGGACTTTGCACCACTTGTTGCCGGAGGGCTTCTGCTCTGCGCTGGTCCGAGCGTTGCTTCTCTGCCCCCTTCCCCCCAGCATTCCCACGCAGTCGCAGGTAGGGTCGTGTGACTGAGGGTTAGTCACCGTTACTCTGTTTTGCTTCTGTTAAATTGTCAGAGGCAGCCGGGCGTCCGTGGCTTCTTCCTGTAATCCTAGCTACTCCACAGGCTGAGATCTGAGGATCGTGGTTCAAAGCCAGCTCCAGAAGGACTCATCTCCAGTAAACCCACCAGAAAACCGGAAGTGGCGCTGTGGCTCAAGTGGTAGCCCGCTGGCCTGAGCTGAAGAGCTGAGGGACAGCGCCCAGGCCCAGAGCTCAGGCCCCACGACTGACCAGAAAAAAAAAATCAGACTTCATTTTAACACCCCTAGTGACCGAGATGGGTTTAGTGATTTGAAGAGGAGTGGATTTCCCCGTGCTTCTGAGAGGATGGGAAAGATAATCTGACTTGTGCTAAATTGGACAGTTTAGGAAGGAGGGGGAATAAATACTTCAAATGAAAGCGAGTACTTTTTGGCTCTGAAGCTCTGCGTGTATTCAAAAGCAGCTTCGTGTACATTTTATGCATCAGTATTGTGTGCTGTTTTTGCATAATTAAAGCACACGTCACTGGCAGCTGTTTGTGCTTTGAAAAATAAGCAAAAACAAATCTAAATTAGCATGACTAGGCAAACGTTACATATGTATATTTAGTCTTTTAGTAAGAATTCTTTTTTATGTAATGCTTATCCAGTACCACAAATAGAACCTTTAAGAATTTACAAAAGTGGCAATAATATTATAAAAATCAACCAAATTAAAAATATAAATATTTAAAGAGAAAATATAATTGTGCTTTCTCCTGACTGAAATTTACCTTATAAGTCCCAAATGAAGTTTCAGATACTTATTTTTATAGTGAAAAAGCATTACTCTCATTCCTAGAACACTCTATCCCAAGACTAATATCAAGTTCTTAGAGCTGCTGGACACCAGTGGCTCACACCTGTAATCCTAGCTACTCAGGAGGCTGGGATCTGAGGATCATGGTTCAAAGCCAGCCCCGGCAGGAAAGTCTGTGAGACTCTTATCTCCAATAAACCACTAGAAAACCAGGAGTGGCTCTGTGCCTCAAGCAGTAGAGCATTCACCTTCAGCTGAAGAGTGCAGGGACAGCGGCCAAGCCCAGAGTTCAAGTCCCGTGACCGACCAAAAAAAAAAAAAAAGTTCTTAGAGCTAGAGCATGCTGTAATTTAACCTGCATTAATTTAGGTATTATTCCAATTGTGTGGATGCAGAAATAGACTTAGATTCTGGGGTGTCAAGCAATAGAGAACATGCTTTTAGAAACACATAGGCATGCATAAAAGCCCAGCAATTACAGTGGCAGAGATATGAAAGACTGAGATTCAAGGACAGCTCCTGCAAAGAAAGTAAGTGAGACTGGATCTCCAGCCACAAAGGAGACATAAGGAGGATCACAATTCCAGGCCCCACAAACAAACATAAAACTATTATATTCTTCTGTAAATATTTGATTACAAATTATGCCTGAAAAGTTTTATTTATACACCGCTAAAGTTTGTTCCTAACATAGGAAACAACAATCTAGAAAACACTTTAAACTTTGAAAAGTAGAAGTAGGTGGCAAAGAGCAGTTGATTCTGAGTGTTACATTGCAGTGTGCGGTGTGGTAGAAAGTCATCTCACAACTATGTAAAGATTATAGTTGAAGCTCAAACTGACAGAGACAGAATAAAGTGATAAGCAGGATTTTGTTCTAAACATTTTTTTTTCAGGAGCAAGATTTTATATCTCCTGGTAACAGGACCAGCCAGGCGGTAGCTACTAAGGAGGCTAAGCTCTGAGGATCACCATTTAAAGCCACCTTGAGCAAGTCTGTGAAACCCTTATCTCCAATTAACCACCAAAATGCCAGAAGTGGAGCTGTGGTACAAGTGATAGAGCACTAGCCTTGAGTGAAAAAGCTTAGGCATAACACCCAGACCCTAAATTCAAGCCTCAGTATTGCCACAAAACACACACACACACACACACACTCACACACACCAGGAACTTATGTTTGAAGACTGTTCTTAATAGTTACAACTCTTTAGTGGTGGTGAAGTCCATTAAGTGTGACATGATAGTTGTTTTTTTAAAAAACAATAGAAAACATTGCAGAATGTAAGTGATGATGTATTTTGTGAAATTTTGATTCCAGTTTTGTGTGTATGTGTATTGCTACACAAATATATATGCATACCTGGTCACAAGATAAAAGAAATTTCTTCCAGTTGGTTGTGCAAAGGTTGAAAAATACTGGGATGGGCAAACACAAGACTTGAGAAAGCAGGCATCACTTCTAAAAGAAACAACCACCAAACAAAAACTCTGGAGTCAGCAGTAAATTCATTCATTCAACAAGTATGTCTTAAATGTTTTGAGCATCAAATGTAAGCCTAAAATTGTCTAAAGCTACGAGGGGACACCAATGTGACTTTAAAGTGGGCCCCTTGGCTCTAGCTAGAGTTGATAATCTACATGGAAAGAGACTTTGTAGAAGGGAATCGGTAACAACTAAGACTGTGTGGGATTAAGTTCTAAAGAGTTATACTTACAGCAGTCACTAATTTCATAAAATTGTGGACAATCACAATTAGGAAAGGCTTCAGAAAAAAAAAGAACTAAGTCTTGTATTTACTTGTTTTATTTTTATGGTGCTGGAGTTAAAAAAACCATGTCTCTCCTGCCACTGAATTCTAATCCCTGTTTCCAGAGCTGAATTTAAACTGAATTTAAAATGAAGGGAGACCATGGTATAACCTCTGTTTTCACTGTATTTGATTCTAGTGCTCTGCATCTTTTATCTTTTTCTAATTTGGAGAGGGGAAGAGAAAAAAACAATATGCTTAAGTAGGGATACAAGTTGACCCATTGTAACAATGAGATGTACAAGAGACTGTTGAAAACGAACTTTACAACTTTAGGCACGGGGTAGGGGAAAGGGTTAAGGGAAGGTATGGTAGAGGAAAAACAAAGGAGGGGGGTAACACTGCTCGACAGGAAATGTACTTATTACCTTACTCATGTAACTGTAACCCCTCTGTACAGTATCTTTACAATAAAAATATATATTAAAAAAAGAAAAAAGAAAAGATAGGGGAGAACAATGGTAAGATACAACATAGATGAAGATACATTGTATTTATAAACAGATTTGTTGAATTGAAGCCCCTTTATACAGCTACTTAAAGATAAAATTTAAATAAAATAAAATGAGGGGAGAAAACATGTTTTCTGGCCAGAAAAATTGTAGGAACAAATGCTTTAATGAGGTAAGCTACAGGTATTTGGGATAATGTAACTACTTTGAAATAATAAAAAGTGAAGCTGGTTATGTAAGGAGAGGTATAATAGTATGAGGAAAGTTTCTGGCTAATCCCAAGAGCTTAAAAAACAGTCCTGGGGCTTGAACTCAGGGCCTCAGTGTTATCCCTGAGCCTTTTTGTGCTCAAGGCTAGTGCTCTACCACTTTGAGTCACAGCTCCACTTCTGGTTTTTGGATGCTTCACTGGAGATAAGAGTCTCATGGGGACTTTTCTGCCCGGGCTGGCTTTGAACTACAATCTTCAGATCTCAGCCTCTTAAGTAGCTAGGATTACAGGCATGAGCTACCTGCACCCAGCTTGCTGGATATTTTTGAGATAGAATCTCGTGAACTTTTTTTGGGGGGGTGGAGGGGAAGTGAAGGACCGTTGGCTGGCCTCCAACCTTGATCCTTCCATTCTCAGCCTCCCAAGTGGCTAGGAATATCAGTGTGAACCAACAGTGGCCAACCTGGAATTTTCTCTGAGGAAATGGTAGAGTTTTCATCAGTGCTGGTCCTCAGACATTGTGTGTGATAGATTGGAGAAAAAAGATAGGACAGATAGGAAACTATTTATGCTAAATTGAAACACTGAGATAAAAAAAAAAATGGTGAACTGGCAAATGGCCAAAAGTGAAGCATTTTGTAGAAAAGTGTGCTACAGCGTCAAGGAAACTTGAAATTTAGGCCATTCTAAGTGAGGTGACAGACACTCCCAAGACAGGAAGTTTGCCAGCATCACAGCCGCTGCGCATGATAATAGAACTCTTTGTTAATTATACTTGTAAGATGTGTTTATTCTCAGAGTTTTGTCTTCTTTTGGTTCCTCTTTTTTTTTTTTTTCCTTTTTATTTTTTCTCAACTGCAACTCCAGATCACACAGACAGCCAAAGTTCAAGAACAGTGGGAGAAATGGCCTGAACACACCCTTACAGGTT